GACAGCAGCCTCAGGGTTCTCGGGACATGACTTCTTTTGTTATTACATTTGTTTCTCTGTCTGTCTCTGTCTCTGTCTCTGTCTCTCTCTCTCTCTCTCTCTCTCTCTCTCTCTCTCTGTGTGTGTGTTTATGTGTGTTTGTAGAGGTTAAAAGGTGCTCTGTAGCATTTCTTCAAATTGGTTTAAATAGTAAAAACGCTGACTGAGATGTCAGATAATTGGGTAAATGTTGAGACATAAGAGAATTAAAGGAGCCAACACTATAGGGACTTCTTACCTGTACCAAATGTTCACATGGAAGTGCTGGGGAGGTCCTGTCTTTACAAATCCCCCATATGAATAAGCCTAAATACTGCCTCCTCCAGCCTTATACTCCTTTCTCCACCTGAGGTGTGAGCCACACGCACCCAGCTCTTATATCTATCAGACTGGTTGAATTTCGTGTACCTCAGTGTGGCCTTGAACTCCTGATCTTCCTGCTTCTTCCTCCCAAATTCGTGGGTTAAAGCTATGTGTAACCATGGCCTGGCCTCTATGGTTAAGCAGTGTCTACATTAAACCTTGATCTTCAAGCTATCTTTATTTTTTAGAGCACAAACAAAATTTTGCATTTCCATTTTTTTGTCTAAAACATAAAATGGTTATAACTAATATAATAAAAAGTATACACAACAAGAACAATAACTATATACAAAATATCCAAGCAATACACACATCAACAATGTCTAGTCTATAAATATTTGACAAATTAACAAAAGTAATACAGTATCTATCCTATTTTGGTAGTTCCACATGATTGTAACTAATTCACTTTCTATTCTATCTTGCATTAGCCAAAATATTTTTGTATGTTTCTCAACCATATACACTTTATATTTCTTTAGGGAATTTCATTACTGAATCTGATCTAGGGAAAACTATAAATATAAATTCTTCAACTTGATCAGAAAAGTGAGAAAGAAATAATTTTATCTGATTAAATAGGGTGTGCAAGCAAGGAACTTCCAAAAAATGTGACAAATTACAGCTAGCTTCCTGGACAATCACCCAAGGTTCCTATTAAGCATAAAGGCATTCATCTTCAGCCTAAAGGCCTAGCAGATCTGACAGACTTTTCTGTATATCAGGATAGTCTCATCATTTGTCCTACTTTGTCTTGGAAAAGTTGGTAAATCACTCCCTTTTCTGTGCTGCTTGTCCAATTTGGACAGCATACTGTCAAAAGTCAAGGCAAGAATACTTTTTGTCCCAATGTCTAACATTTGCCACAAAGAAAGTAAATTCAGTGAGGGGTTTCTTCACTGCCCATCATCTTCTCTAAAGGAGATTGGTACTGTCAGGAGCATACATGTCACATTGTTACAAAAATAAAGAATAAAAAAATAAACAACAGTGCTTTGTTATTAAGACATCTCAAATATCATAATCTGCAGAACGCTGAAGTGTTTGAAGACTGCCTGTCTACCTCAAATACATCCAATTTACCTTGAAAAATATCTTCCTAGAACAATTAGAAAAACACTGACTATTGTAAAAATTCACACTGCTATTGTTGATAGAATGGCTTTGGAGGATAAATCTGAATTTCCAGGAAGAAAGAGAAAATGTATATTTTAGTAGACTTCTCTGATGA